AATTAGCGGGCGAGTTGTCGGGAGTCACTGCGCCGAGCAACCATTAGGTTTTTCATAGCGCCGTGACTTTCGTCGCAATATTAATTTTTTTATTGCAGAGATTAAGGGATGAAACGGGGAATTTAATTCTCCATTGAACAGTCTTTGTTTCATCCCTTAATATTAATTAGTTGGCGAATAAATCAACTGAAAAACATAACGTAAACATTGAGTACAAGGAGGACAAAACTACCCCTCCGAACCTGTCCCTGTGACAGCGGGACTGCTACTGCCGTGTTACTCACACACCCGACTCATAAGGTATGATACAAGGAGGTATGGTGAAGCTTTGATGTCGCCGACACCGAAACAGGGGACAAGTTCCAATGGAAGCCGCGCGCGGTGCTGTTGCGTCCCTCCCCCTCACGCGGATTAGATCTCCCACCACACGCCGATTTTACTTGCGTCCCAAGTTCAGATCCCCGGCAAATCAATTTTTTTTTTTTTTCATGAGAGAGAAATAGTATATTTCGTAACGAGTGCAAAAAAGTGGTTTTTGGCGAGTGGGAGGTTTATATCACGAGCCGAAGGTGAGTGATATAATTTCACGTGCCAAAAACCACTTTTTTCACGAGTTACGAACAAAATTTGTCATCACAGTGTGTCGGAAAGTTACTTCTCCGATACAGCGTGATGAAAATAAAATTTTGTGTTCAATCGAGAGGAACAGGATTAAAAAATGTTGAGATGAAAACTATATGATTCTCAACAAATAGTTCCGTGGGTCGAGCGATAAAGATTGACTGAGAGTCATGTCGACTAGACGATTGAAATACTAATTAGAAGAAAGAATAATTAACATCAGAAGTCCATTCAGTTAATTATTCCCCTTCTCTTCAGTGAAGCTTAATAGGGAAGAATTTGGAGAGATGGGATTACGATAACGAGGATCCCAGTTTGAACTATGTTTTTTAATGTTTTCTTCTATGAACAAGTTTTGAAAAAGATACGAGGGTCATAATGGTCACGAGGG